CTTTCTCCTTTTCTCTTCCTCTTCTTCTTTTGTTTTATGTTTATTCCTGTTTATTCTATCTCCTTCTTTCTCCTTTCCTCTTCTTCCTTGTTGTCCTCCTCCTCTTTCTCCTTCTCCTCCTCTCTTTCCATCTCTCTCTGCCTCCTCTTTCTTCCGTTCTTCTTTTTCTTTTTCTTCTTCGTCTTCTTCGTCTTCTTCTTCTTCTTCATCTTTTTCTTCTTCTTCTTCTTCCTTTCTTGTTCTTGTTCTTCCTCTTCTTCTTTTTCTTTTTCATCATCTTCCTTCCTTCTTCTTCTTCTTCTTCTTCTTCTTTTTCTTCTTCTTCTTCCCTCCTTCTTCCCTCCTTCTTCTTCTTCTTCTTCTTCTTCTTCTTCTTCTTCTTCTTCTTTTTCTTCTTCCCTCCTTCTTCTTCCTTCTTCTTCCCTCCTTCCTTCTCTTCCTTCTTCTTCTGCTTCTGCTTCTTCTTCTTCTTCTTCTTCTTCTTCTTCTTCTTCTTCTTCTTCTTCTTCTTCTTCTTCTTCTTCTTCTTCTTCTTCTTCTTCTTCTTTTTCTTCTTCTTCTTCCTCCTTCTTCTTCTTCCCCCATTTATTCCCATTTATTCTATCTCCCTCTTTCTCCTTCCTCCTCCTCTTCTTCCCCCATTTATTCCCATTTATTCCATCTCCCCCATTTATCCCCATTTATTCCATCTCCCCCGTTTATCCCCATTTATTCCATCTCCCTCTTTCTCCTTCCTCCTCTTCTTCCCCCATATATTCCATCTCCCCCGTTTATTCCCATTTATTCCATCTCCTCCGTTTATTCCCATTTATTCCATCTCCCCCGTTTATCCCCATTTATTCCATCTCCCCCTTTTATTCCCATTTATTCCATCTCCCCCGTTTATTCCCATTTATTCCATCTCCCCCGTTTATCCCCATTTATTCCATCTCCCCCGTTTATCCCCATTTATTCCATCTTCCTCCATTTATTCCCATTTATTCCATCTCCCCCGTTTATCCCCATTTATTCCATCTTCCTCCATTTATTCCCATTTATTCCATCTCCCCCGTTTATTCCCATTTATTCCATCTTCCTCCATTTATTCCCATTTATTCCATCTCCCCCGTTTATTCCCATTTATTCCATCTCCCCATTTATTCCATCTCCCCCGTTTATTCCCATTTATTCCATCTCCCCCGTTTATTCCCATTTATTCCATCTCCCCCGTTTATTCCCATTTATTCCATCTCCCCATTTATTCCATCTCCCCCGTTTATTCCCATTTATTCCATCTCCCCCGTTTATTCCCATTTATTCCATCTCCCCATTTATTCCATCTCCCCCGTTTATTCCCATTTATTCCATCTTCCTCCATTTATTCCCATTTATTCCATCTCCCCCGTTTATTCCCATTTATTCCATCTCCCCATTTATTCCATCTCCCCCGTTTATTCCCATTTATTCCATCTCCCCCGTTTATCCCCATTTATTCCATCTCCCCCGTTTATCCCCATTTATTCCATCTCCCCCGTTTATTCCCATTTATTCCATCTCCCTCTTTCTCCGGCAGAGGCGACAGGAAGAACTAGAGAAGAAGGCGCAGGAGCTTGCCAGGAAGGAGGAGGAGCTACGCAACGCGGGCACGGCGGGAGGTACGTCATGTCATGTCATGTCATGTCATGTCATGTTATAGCATGTAATGTTATGAGATGTCATGTCACGTCAGGTAATGTTATGAAATGTCATGTCATGTCATATAATGTTATGTAATGTCACTTCATGTCATTTGTCATATCACATCATATGTTATGTAATGTAATGTCACGTCACTTCATGTCATGTCATGTTATGTAATGTCACTTCATGTCATGTATCATGTCACTTCATGTCATGTGTCATGTAACTTCATGTCATGTGTCATGTCATGTTATGTTGCGTCACGTCATATCATGTTATGTAATGTTATGTCACATCATTTCACACACATATGTCAACACACACACTTGCACACATGTACGCGCGCACACTCACACACGCGCGCACACATACAGTATGTGTATCAATATCTCGTATTAAAAAAAAAAAAAAAAAAATCTTTCTTGCTCTTTTTCTTTTTGTTTTTTTCTCTTTTCTTTCTCCTCCTCCCTCCTTCCCATCTCCCTCTGTCTCCCTCCTTTCCTTCCTCCCTCTCTCCCTCTCTCCCTCTCCCTCTGTCTCCCTTCCTCCCTTCTCTCCTTTCCTTCCCTCTCTACTGCTTCTCCCTCTCTCCCTCCCTCTTCCTCCTCCCTCCCTCCCTCCCTCTTCCTCCCTCTCTCCTTCCCTCCCTCCCTCCCTCCCAACCTCCCTCCTCCCTCCCTCCCTCCCTCTTCCTCCCCCTCCCTCCCTCCCTCTTCCTCCTCCCTCCCTCCCTCCCTCCCTCCCTCCCTCCTCCCCTCCCTCCCTTCCCTTCCTCCCTCCCTTCCCTCCCTCCCTCCCTCCCTCCCTCCCTCTTTCTCCTCCCTCCCTTCCTCCCTCCCTCCCCTCTGAACACCTGTTATTCAGTATAAGAGTGGATAGGGGGGGGTGGGGGGTGGGGGTGTTAACCACATGTGAGGGCAAAAGAAAGAAAGAGAGAGAGAGAGAGAGAGAGAGAGAGAGAGAGAGAGAGAGAGAGAGAGAGAGAGAGAGAGAGAGAGAGAGAGAGAGAAAGAGAGAGAGAGAGAGGAGGGGGAGGGGAGAGAAGAGGGAGAAAGAGAAAGAGAAAGAGAGAGAGAGAGAGAGAGAGAGAGAGAGAGAGAGAGAGAGAGAGAGAGAGAGAGAGAGAGAGAGAGAAAGAGAGAGAGAGAGAGAGAGTGGAGAGAAGAAAAGAGAGAATAGAAGAGAAGAGAGAGGAGAGAAGGGAATAGGAGAAGAGAGAAGAGAGAAAAGGGGAGAGAGAGGAGATGGAAGAAAAGAGAGAGAGGAGAACTTCTTCCTCCTCCTCCTCCATCTTCCTCTTCCTCTTCCTCCTCCCCCTCCTCTTCTTCTTCCTCCTCCTTCCTCCATCTTCTTCCTCCTCCTCCTCCTCCCCCTCCTCCTCCTCCTCCTCCTCCTCCTCCTCCTCCTCCTCCTCCTCCTCCATCTTCAGGTAGGAACTTGAGAGAGAAAAAAAAAAAAAAATTTGGCAACCTATGGATAAGGACGGAGGGAGGGGGGAGGGGAGAGGGAGGGGAGAGGAGAGGGAGGAAGGGGAGGGGGGAGAGGGAGGAAGGGGAGGGGGGAGAGGGAGAGGGAGGGAGGAAGGGGAGGGAGGGGAGAGAGAGAGAGGAAGGGGAGGGGGGAGGGAGGTAGTGTAGGTAACAGATGTTATTGAGTACAGGTGTGTGTGTGTCAGAAGAGTTTAGGGGGAAGGAGAAGTGGAGGCGATACGACACATGACACGCGACACTCTAATTGCGTTGGATTTGTGTCGCAAATGAGCCCCCAGGGTTTTCGGAACGTTATGCCTTTTTCCCCAAACGTGTGACGGAAGGAGAATGACAATGACGCTAGGGGGAGTGTCGTCACTTATGCCATGACGGTGATCTCTGTCATGTGGCCGGGCAGGGAATGCGTTGAGATTCGTGGTTCGTTGCACTGGGACTTGGCTCTGCAATGAAGAGTTGCAAGATTGTACCTGTGATGTGGTACTTGGCTCTGCAACGTGAGTTTGTCCTGCATAGGAGGGAAAGTTGCAAGATTGCGATGCAGTAGTTGAGCTGCAACGCGAATGGAGGAGGCGTAGATCCTTGGACGCTCTCTTGCTCTTGTGTTTTATGTTGACGTGAAGAAAAAACTTGATTCTTAGCACTCTCTTGCCCTCGTGTTTTGTGTTGACGCGAAGAAAAATCTAGATCCTTAAGGCCCTCTTGCCCTCGTGTTTTATTTTGATGTGAAGAAAAAAATAGATTCGTGAGGCCCTCTTGAGCTTGTATTTTTTGTTGACGTGAAGAAAAACTCGACGCCCTCTTGCCCTCGTGTTTTATTTTGACGTGAAGAAAAACTCGATCCTGGACGCTCTCTTGCCCTCGTGTTTTACGTTGATGCGGAAATGGGCGACTCCTTTGCAATTTTGGGTCATGCGATGCAAGTGGTTGTGGTATTTTTTTTACTCGGATCGTCGCCTGTCGTGTGGTGTTGATATTTGAGGCGTATGAGACGCTTGTTATATATACTTGTGATATTTTTTACTTGGTATAAGACCATTGTGATATGTCAAAGACCCTGGTGAGATATATAAGACCATGGTGATATATATTAGACCATGGTGATATATATTAGACCATGGTGATATATGTAAGACTCTGGTGATATATAT